GTAACTGAATGATATTGGGTGTTATAGATGGAATATGGTCCCCAGGAGCCATATGTTGTAGTCTTAATTGCCAGAGTGATGGAAGAAGAGACAGAGAGAAAGAGAGAGCGTGAGAGAGAAATCACTGGACATTGGGATCAGCTCTATTAGATGAAACTCGGTGCAAAGCTCTTTGACATAAGCCTTTCTCTACCTTGAGCTCCTGCTGAGAACCTGTAAAACAATACTCTTAAGCTTCCTAGAGGTTTTTCTGGTTTGGTTGAAACACCCTTAATCTCTTTAAAGGGACCTTTGTGTGCCTGAACATGCTTCTGATGCCCCTGGTTTCTCTGCAGCTTTAAAAATACACACAAACGCATACCAGCAGGGGCTGCATTTAGCAACAACCCTCCCCAACACACACACACACAAGTGATGGCTTGAAAGGCAATTATCTCTGTTATTCTTAGTGTTCATTTCTTTGTTCCTTTCAAGAAACTCAAGCAGTATTTTTCCTTGTGAAGTCCTTTTAGCTAGGAACTAGGGAACGCTTCTGTAGATGGGGCAGTGGGTGTCCAGGGATCCTTTTCAGGCTCTTGTTATCCTGTTCAAAGAATTGGACAAGACGCGCAAAGAACATAGAAGTTTTACATTTACTCAAGGTAAAAGCAGGGTGAAAAGAAGCTGGAAGAAGCGGTAGGAAAAGAAGTGCTCTGCAGAGGAGCATGGGCCAGTTAAAGTAAGAAAAGAAGCACAGTGCACCTTGCAGAGCGCAGGAGGAGCTGCTGAAAAAGCTCACAGCAGCCACGAGCTTAATGGCCCCTGATTTTTTTTTTCCTCTCATTGTAACATCAGATCTAGGCCATCCCATCAAAAACTCACCTGACATTATACCAGAAGAATTGAAAACAGCACTCTCTGGTATTGGATTCAGGGCTCAGAAACCATGCTGGGCTTGTTTCCTGAATCTCTGTGATTGACATCTCCATGATTGACAAGTCCAGCCCAGTTGCCAGCTGCTTTGCCATGCCCTAATCTCCTGCCTTACTTTGCTAGTTTAGCTAGCTTTATACTCAGGGTGATTAAACTGTGGTAATTTCCATGTTATTAATGTTGGGAAGATTCTTATTTCTCTATTATGTCTTCTCATCTAGATATGTTTTTTTTTTTTTGTCTTTTTTTTTATCGGTACCAGGGATCGAACTCACGACTGCCTGCTTACAAGGCAGATGCTTATGCCGCTGAGCTAAACCCCCAGCCCCCATCTAGACATGTTATGTCTCTCAGTTCATTCAGTTTTTGTGTACTCTGCAAAGTTTTACTCAAGTTAAATCGAAGCCTTTCATGTTAAATGTATTTTCTGTTCAGTTTAGTTTACTTTTATTTTATCTTATTTTTTGGTACAGGACACTGAACTCACAACCTCGTGCTTGCCAGGCAGGCACTTGTACAGCTGAGCTAAATCCCCGGCCCCTGTTCAGTTTAGTTTAAAATGAAGTATTTTCTATTTCTATTTCTGATTTTTGTTAAGGGAAAATATATTCAACAATTTAACCAAATTTTCTTTAAGATATTTTTCTCTTTTCCTCTAAAGCATTTTGCATAATATTGCCTTTTTTTTTTTTTTTTTTTTTTTTTTTTTTGGTGGTGGGGATCAGACTTACTACTTCATATTTGCCAAGCAGGCACTTATGCTGCTGAGCTAAACCCCTGGCCCCTATTTGTAATATTTAAATTATGGGATTTTTTCTGTTTACTTGCATTGTACAGAAGTTCACGCAATGTTTAATAATAGTGATAGAGGGTATTTTGAAATGGATTTTGATGAATTAGCTCTGCATTTCATGTTCCTTTTTTTATTTATTTCTGCTTTGTATTAATTGCTCCATTGTATCTTCTTAGGTTCACGTTTTAGTCCTGGGGACAGTAGTTCCACAGTTCAATCTGATTTTGTCATGCCTATGGTGTGACTCTCCTTGTCTATAGTAATGCTTCTTGCCTTAAGGCTTGTCGAGTTGATATTAATATACCAATACCAACATTATTTCCATTAGAATTTCTGTGGTTTACTTCTTTATTTTTCTTTAAAATTCTCTATGCCTAAAAACATAAAAACAAAATTCTCTATGCCTTAGATTTATCTAAGCATGCTGCTGCATGGTTGGAGTTTGCTTTATATGGACCACCAATTTTACCTGATGAATCCATCTCATTTACATTTAATGTAATTATTCATATATTTGCCATTGCATCTATATTGTACTGTGGGGTTTTTTCTATGTGTGTCACCTATTTGATGGTTACTTTCTTCTTTGCTTGACTTTAAACTTAATCAAAATTTTTATTTTTATTTCTGTGTAGTGATTTTTTAGTTATACATGCTTTCATTTTTTTAAGGGTTTAATCTCAGAAATATGTGCCTTTGCCTCGCAAAGATATCTGTAGGGTTTTCATTGTTATTGTTTATGCTCATCCTCCACCCACTTTTTTTCTTTTACTCCTGGAGACTGAACCCAGGGTCTTCACTCTGAGCTACACAACAGCACTTTTTATTTTTATTTTTTTTTTATTTAAGGAGAAAAAGAAAAAAAAACAGAAAAACGGTACAAGTTATACGGAATTTCAGAAAAAATAAACAGTAGGAAATCACTAGTTAATAGATTACATATCAATTTCTTGATGATGATGCAACCCTATATCAACCACATTCGCCCTTCTGCTTTTTGTGCATTTTAGTTCCACATATATTTTAAACTTCACAAGTCGTGCAACAGTTGTCTTGTAAGGCAATATTCTTCCATATTTGCCCATAGGTCACCCTCCCTGGCATTCTCCTGCACTTGCTTCTTGAATCCTCTTCCTCTTTCTTGAAAAACTTTCTCTTTGAAAGTGCAGTCCCACTGGCCGTGAATTCTTCAGTTTTTTTGTCTTTAGGAAATGCTTTTATTTCATCATTATTTTCCCATTTAAAATTAACTTACATTTTACATGCATTAAAACCTACCCTTTCTCAGGGTCTAGTTCTACAAGCTTTGACAAGTACATGCAGTCATGTAACCACAGCAAGCATGACTTAGAGCAGACTGGGGTTGCAGCTGGTTGGTAGAGTACTTCCCAGCACGTGGAGGTTCTGTCCCCAGCACTGCAAGATAGAGAGATAGGAAGACAGACAGACAGGTAAATACTGAAGATTTATCACAGTCCCATCATCCCACCACCTCCTTTTCCCTCCAGGTAGACAATTCTAGGTCTGTTTAGGGATGTCATTCATTGTCTGCCCGATTCTTTTGTTCCTGTGAACAACCATCTGAAAATTTAATACTGCTCCCTTCAAAGCAGCCTGTCTTCTTCCTCTGGCTGCTTTAATATTTCCCTCTTCCTATCTGATTTCCAGAAGTGGCACTATGTAATGTGTCTAGATATGAAAAAAAATTTAATACCGGGAATCAAACTCAGGACCTGGCACTTGCCAGGTAGGTGCTGCAAGTTGAGCTGTATCCCTGGCTGGTATTTTCTTTAATTATAAGTTTTTTCAATTTGTTGTTTGCCAGCACTGGACTTGCAGTGTTGGTCTAGGTCCAAGTCCTCAGCCTGTGCTCAGAATCAACAAATGTTTCCAAAACTATAATCATTTATACTTTCTCATCCTTGAAAGAATCTCCCTTCTCTGGAATTTTATTCTTTCTCACCATCCTTTCTTCCAAAACTCTCTGATATCTTATAGAAATAACCTCTATAATTTGTTTGACCTTTTAAAATGGTGCCACAGGGAGTTTGGCCTGTTGTGACCCATTTTATTTTAGACATAATCTGAGTTTTCCACCCTTATTTACCATCTCAAAGGACATTTTAAATGAAGGAATGACTGAATAAACCTTATTTTAGGCATTGGGTTTTTTTAAAATCCATCCACCCATTCAATGTTTGCAATTTCTTTCTTTCTCTTTTCTTTTCTTTCTTTCTTTCTTTTTTTTTTTTTTGTCTTTGTGTGTGTGTGTGTGTGTCTTTTTGAGACACGATCTCTCTATGCAATTCAGGCTGGCCTTGAGCTCACTTTTTAGCATAGGCTGGTCTCAAACTTGAAGTGATCCTCCTGCCTCAGCCTCCCAAGTGCTGGGATTACAGACATGAGCCACCACACCCGGCTTCTTTTCTTTTCTTTTTTCTTCTTTTTTTGTGCCAGAAATCAAACTCAGGACCTCCTGCTTGTCAGACAGGTGCTCTGCTCCTGAGCTGTATACCCTCAGCCCCTTGCAGTTTCTATTTAATGTCCTCAGGTTGCCATCTAGCTCTGTTTACTGCTAGTGGAAGGACACTTACTACTGACTGTCCTCAAGTAAAAGTTAACAACACTGGGAAGCTGAGAGTTTTGTTCTGAGATGCAGACTAAAGGCTAACTTTCTGTCAGTGTCAGCTTTCAGCCCTTGTTTTAAGAAGCTCCATAGTAGAAGTTGGGCAAAATCTGTCCCCTCTGCTGTATGCAGAGCTACAAAGACTGAAAGCCTCAATCACGTCCTCAGCAGACTGACCCTTTCCTTTTCTGTGTCTGTCTGTCTATCTGTCTCTGTCGCTCTTTTTCTTATATGCAGGATTTAATCCAAGACCTTTGTACTTAGCTACATCCCCCTACCCTTTTTATTTTTTATTTTGAGGTAAGGTCTTTCGAAATCACTAAAGTGTCCATGCTGGGCTCAAGCGTCTGATTCTCCCACCTCAGTCTGCCAGAATGCTAGGATTACAGGAATGCACCACCGTGATTCGCTATTAACTGATCCTTTCTTAAACTGTCTAATTCTGTCTGCGCTATTTACTTGTGTCTTTATCCCACTTCTTCATGATTTTGCTAAGCCAGGAATTGCCTCATACTATTAAAATCCTAAAAATAAGCCCATATATCACTTTAGTATCTCATAGGTATTTTTCCCTTAACAGAAAATTAGGTTATCATCAAGTGAGAAGGTACTTTCACATGTCAATCAGCATGAGTTACAATTGTGCCATAATTTCTGTTCACAGACCAGAAGAGATGGAATCCTTCCTCTTTGATGACATCGGCTGCATGATCCAGAACAAAGCTATAGAGAGAATCATCTCATCAATGACTGTTCAGCTTTGCCATCTGCTCATCTCAGTGGAGATGAAAGATGTAAACAATAAAGCGTTTGCTTCTCTGGAGAAGATGGCAGAAGAGCTTGCTGAGGCCAGTGAAGAGTTTGTGCAAGTTGCTGAGAGGTAATACTTTCGAAGAACTCAAGCCTGTTCCCCTGTACCGTGGCAGAAGGAGCAGGCATTAGAGTGCCCTTCGATACCTTTGGAAAGAAGTCAAGTGTGGAAAAAATACACTGATAAAACACAAAGCCAATTGCTTAATATAATAAATAATTGGGGTATAATTTAAAAATATAAACATTTCAGAAATAGCTGAGTTTTTCACTAAGAGATCACTCTACCTGGAGCCATGGAGAGACCAGAGGGAGCAGGCCAGTGAAGGAGGAGCCGCACCAGGGCCCCTCTAACCCTCTCTTGCTCCTCTCCTCTCACTGAAGCTAACACTAACAGGTTGTTTTGTTGTTGTTTGCAGTGCTAGGGGATGCAACCCAGACTCTTGAACGTCCTAGGCGAGCACTCACCACTGAGCTACACCCTCAGACCAAACACTGATAATAATAAAGGTGCTAAAGGTGCTAAAACAAAAACAAAAACTAAAAACAGTTCCATGACCCATCAAAAGGTTTCTAGGGGCTGGGGATTTAGCTCAGCAGCATAAGCACCTGCCTAGCAAGCATGAAACATGAGGTTGTGAATTTGATCCCTGGTACCAAAAAAAAAAAAAAAGGCTTCTAGAAGGTAGGCATGGTGGCACAACCCTGTAATCCCAGCTGAGGTAGAAAGATTACAAATCTGAGGCCACATCGGGCAATTTAGTAAAACCCTATCTCAAAATAGACAATAAAAAAAGTCGAGAATATAGCTCTTTACAGTAGAAAGACAATTAATACATGTAGAAGCAATAATGAACTTAATTACTATTTGGGAGCTATCACAACTGTTCCAGGCAGAGATCATCGAGATGCTAAAATTAGTGGGCAAAAGGTTAATGAGAGAAGGATACTTCTATTGTATCAAGGTCCCGAAAAATTTTTCTTAATTACACTGGGGAAAATGGAACTTTCATGAAACAGCTGTCTGGTAGACATCACCTTCCCCAAGTGATCAAAATGAGCTTTCTATTAGAGGAACAGGACAGCAGCACCTGCCTCCTAGTTCTGTGCACTAAGGATACCATGTCACTCCTGGAGGGCTATTTCCTGAAACGCATAGCCTGAATCTATTAATAAAATATCAGAGAAACCCAAATTGAAGACCTTTCTATAAATTACTGGCTCATACCCATCATAAACATCAAAGGTCAAGGGCAAAGCAAGCTTCCAGAACTATTCCGCTCAGGGATTAAGGGATTTGTATGGGTTTACTGTTGTTGTTGGAACACATTGGACACACGGCGCAATCTAAAATCAGGTAAATTTATTACCCCAGGGTTTTGTTGGCTGGAAGTTGGTGAGCTCAACTGGTTCCTTGGTGTGGGTCTCACAGGCTGGAACAGAGTTGTCATCCTAGCAGATTTTTATCTGGACACTCTGGGAAGAATCCACATCCAGGCTTATTTCAGGTGTTGGATGAGTCCAGTTCCTTGTGGTTGTAGGACTGAGGTCTCTGAACCTGGGCTTTCCTCAGTGAGACAACTGCATTCCATGTGGCATGTCAGCAATGGCAGATCAAGTTTCTCTTACCATTTGAATCTCTCTGATATCCCTGACACCCACCAAATCTCTCACTCCTCTATGCTCTTCTATTGCTTTTAACAGTCATTCAGTTATACTGGGACATCCAGAAAATCTAGAATAGTTTCCCTGATTTGAGGCTGCTTATTAGGTCCCTTAATTGTATCTGCAGGGTCCTTGCACAGCAGTACCTAGATTAGTGTTTGTTTGACTAATCAAGAGACAAGAATCTTGGTGCTGGGCAGATGAACATGGCCCTCGAATTCTACCTACCATAAGACTTGAATGGTAAATATAATGCATACCCTCAGACTGGGGACAATCATGTTGTATAGATGTTTAATTTCATGATTTTGATGACTATTCTGTGTTAGGGAAGTTGAGTATCCCTGTTCTTAGGGAATCCACACTGATTCACCCTGGATAAAGGGGCATTGTGTCTACGCAGAGGGAGATCCAAAGGAAAGTAATAAAGCAAATGTGGCCAAATGATCATTAAAAGATATATCAGAGTATGCAGTACTATTTTGTGACTTTTGTATATTTGAAATTATATAATGGAATGTTATTAACATATTAATGGAGTGTTATATAATGGAACATTACCCAGTCTTAAAGATGGAGGAAATTCTGACATTTGTTACATCATGGGCGAGCTTTAAGGACATTGTGCCAAATGAAATAAGCCAGACACAAAGGACAAATGATTGATTCCACTTATATGAGGTTTCTAGAGTAGTCATTATAAGGCCAGAAAGCAGAATGGCAGTGGGAGGAGAAAGTAGGAAATGATTGTTTAAGTGGTACAGAGATTCAGTTTAGGAAGATGAAATAATTTCTGGAAGCTGGTGATGGGAGAGATGTGCAAAGTAAATACATTATACTTAATGTCACAGAACCGCACCGTGAAAAATGGTTAACGTGGTAAATTTTTATGCTATACATATTTTGCCATAGTAAAATGAAGACGTGGAACTTGTAGTGACAAGTTGGAATGACTTTGCCAAAATATCAGTATGATTTATTTAGGAGTTTGGGATCAGAGCAATTTAATGCTATTTTAATATTTATACAATTAAATTTTCTGACACACAATGCATTTTGTAATCACACACACAACCAAGACACACCCCAAATTTTAAGAAAAGTCAAGCATTGTTTTTGTCTGTTTCCACTATAAATGCTTTCGCTGTATTGTCTGTTCCTGGCAAGATAAATTATTTATACACAGAATTATCTGTGCTCATGACCGTAAGAAGTGATCCAGACCTCCTATCAGAGCAATAGTGCAAATGATTCATATTTGGGTTTGGGTTGGGCTCCAGGGATTTCCAGGGCACCTACTAGAGCTGTTCTCTGGGGTGAGGCCAAATGGAAGCCATCAGCACAACCGCGCTAAGTGTCTGGCTGGCAGCAGTAGCCTCTCTCTCCGCTGGGCCGGAAGGAATTGTTCTCATCTGCTGCCCCTGAATCAGTGTTGTAGCAGGACCAGGCTTCAGGCAGGACCCTATGAGAAGAGACCAAGGCAAGCAAATGTTTTCTTTTGTTGGAAAATAAATCCTATGATGAACATTTAAAAAATATGAATGAGCTGAAGGCAGAAAAAAATATAAGCCTAAAACTTAGGGATAATCACAAGCGATATTTGGGGATATATTTATTCCAGGAATTTTTCTTCTCTTTCTCTTTTTTAATTTCTTCTTTCCAGCATTTCTTTCTTGTCTGCCTAAATTTCTTTTTAAAAAAGCTTACATGAAAATCTGTGGATGCACTATGTCCACGTGTCCACATGCACATGTGTGCACATGTGTGTGTGTGGGTGTGTGAGAACTGGCCTTGCTGATGCGTGCACAGGGGAGGGTCAGTGCACTACTGGCCCGAGGGACGGGGTCTGTGTGAACAGAGCCTTGGGCCGGGCAGCATGACAGCAGCCCAGGGGAGATGTAGTTGCATAGCCTTCTCCCTCCCTTTCTGCCTCTCTGGATATTCAGCCAAGATTTTCTAGTTACTCTTTTGTTCTTATTTCTAATGTGATTGTACTGTGGCCCATCGAATACAATATAATCTTTTAGCCACATTTTGTGGCCTGGTACTTGATCTGTATTTGTAAATCTTCCAGGTGCCTTTGATTCAACAAGTAGTCTAAATTACTGGGTTCAGTGTTCTGCATATATCCTTTAGGAAAGCTTTACATATTAATAAAAAGATTCTTACAGATCCCTAAGGATCTTTTTATTAAGGAGAGAGAAGGGAGTTAAAATTTTTTTACTTCCTGAGTTTGGGGCTGGCCTCAGCTACATAATAGTGAGTTTGAGACCAGTTTGAACTACAGAGTGAGACCTTACCTTCTAAAACCCAAGCCAAACCAAACCAAAACAAAGAACTGCCTCAAAAAACAAACAAAAAACCCTCAAAAAAACTGCCAGATGTGGTGGCATATGCCTAATTCCAGCACTTGGCAGGCTGGTACCACAAAAAAAATGATCGCAGGAGGATTACCATGAGTTCAGGGCTAACCTGGGTTACATAGTAAACTCAAGGCCAGCCTGAACTACGCAGCAGAAACCCTGTCTTAAAACAAAGCAAAAACAAAACAACTTTCACCATTTGCGGATCTATTTTTCTTTTTAGCTTTGTTACCATTTGCTTTTGTATATTGTATTTATAGGATAAGGTGCCTACACATTTAGAATGATTATATTTTCCTTTTGTCTTTATGAAATATTCCCCTCTATATTTAATAATTCTTCTTGCTTTAGAGTACTCTTTGTCTAAATATTGTAACCACTTACAAGTTTTTCTCCTCTTTCTCCTCTATTCTATCTGTCTACGTGATACCAAAACACCACCCTTGAACATGGTAGCTGAATTAGTAAGACCTGAAAGCTGGTAATGTAAGATCTCCACTTTTTCCCTCAGAGATGATTATTGTAGGTCTTTGCATGCCTACATGAACTTTAGAGTAAGCTTGCTAATCTTTATTTTTTTAAAAAGTCTGCTAGAATTTTAATTGGGATTATATTGAATCTATAGAGCAATCTTAGAATAAATGATATTTACTACCCTGATCTACGAGCATGAATTGTCCCCTTTTTTTGTTTTTTAGATTGGCTCTTGCTTTGAAGTTCAGGCTGGCCTTGAATGCACTGTGTAGTCCGGGCTGGCTTCAAATTTATGGCAATCCTCTTGCCTCAATGCTCAGCTCTTGTTTTTGGTTTTTAACAGAGATGCAAAGACAGTTCAGTGGAGGAAGAATAGGCTTTCAACAAATGGTTCTGGAACAATCCGACAATATCCAAAAATTGCACAAAAAGTGAATTTTGGCCCATATATCAAAGTTAAACAAAAAGTGAATTTGGGATCATATATAAACATTAATTCAAAATAAGCCTAAGATCTAAATATAAATCTTAAGCTTATGAAAGCTCAATGAACAAATGTAGGAAAAAATTTTTGAGGTCTTGGGTTAGCCACAGATTTCTTAGACACTACTAAAAGCATGGTTAATAAAAGAACAAACTAAATTTCATCAAAATTTTAAAAAATAACTTTTCAAAACATTCACTAAAAAAAAAAGCCAGAGAATGGGAGAAAATATTTTTAAAGCATATGTTAGGCAAAGAAATTATATTCAAAATACGTAAAGAACCATCAAATATCAAGGCCAGGGATTTTTTTTTTTTTTTTTTTTTGTGGTACCAGGGATCAAACTCACAACCTCACTCATATCAATAATGAGAAGCAAATAGCCCAAAAAAATGGTTGAAAATTTTGAATTGATAGCTTAATGAAGAAGACAGGCACATGCAAAAATTCTCAACTTTATTAGCAATTAAGAAAATCCAGATTTAAATCACAAGAAGACAACAGTCCACGTTTATTTGGAATGATTAAACTTAGAAAGACTGTACCAAGTGTTGATGTGGGCATGGAGAAATTGGAACGCTCACACTGCTGATAATGTAACACATTACAACTGTGTTGGAGAAAGTTTTGGCTGTTTCCCTAAAACCTAATACCTACTACTCCTAGGTATTTACCCAAGAGAAATGGAAGCATATGTCCAAAGAAATACCTATATATGAGTGTTTCCTGGAGCTTTATTTCTAATAGCAAAAGACAGATTGTCCTTAGGTTTCTCACTTGCAGCTCTGGAGGCCAGCATATGCTGGAATCAAGTGTCTGGGCTGTTGAGAGGAAAGGCCTGGACTCAGAATGCTCTATCCCCACGTCTCATTTTTAACCTCTTTAACCTGACAGTGAGGAGAAGATAAATCAGGACCTGCAGGATTTAGTGAATGCACTGCCCCTCTGAGAAAAATATTGGAGAACAGCTCTAACTAAATCCCAGATCCAGAGACTTGAAGATAAGGAACTTCTCTTTACTTCAACACTGTCTTTTAGACTCTTGTGACAATCAATATAATCCTGTATCTGTTTCAGTGGCGACTTAGTGCTGAGTTCTGTGTAACACAATTCCTTTATGGATATATTTCCTTTCTTTTTAAAATAATATCACATGTCATAAACGTACCATCTCTACCTAGGTTGGCAGAAGATGCTGAGGAGTGGTTCCGGGAGGAAATGCAGCTGGTGGCCCAATCTCTGATCCAGTCTGGGAGGAACATCAGGGTGGTGGCTGGGAAGCTCCATCTGCAGCCAGGATGTCAGTACCACCGGGAGGAACTGGTGACCACAGCACAGCAGATCCTAGTGGACACCACAAAGGTGAAGCTGATGCCAGAGTCACTGGCTGGCTGGACACTGCTGGGCTTATTATTCCCACAGCAGGTGCCTGCCCCAGAGAGTGAAATCCACCCCCCTTCGGTCAAGATCAAAGGCACAGAATTCATTACCAGTTTAACCAGTCCTACCTACTGAACTGGGCAGACCTAGCAAGTTATGGTCTATGATCTTAAACCCACATGTAGCTGCTTCATCCTCCATACTTCACTGCCAACCTCTAATTTTTATTAGAGGCCAAAAAGGTCATTTCCCACCCTGGTCAGTGGTCAAGAGCTGTGAGGAGAGATGGCTGAAGCCTCTGCAGCCCTCAGCCTGTTTGGCAAGCCAGGCACCCAAAGGAGAGCTCTGTAGCACTAGCCTAGCGCCAGAAAGATCTCAGAAAGACTGGGTCACCTCTGAGCTGGCAAACAGTCTTCATTTTCTACATTGGCATTCCGTCATGGGGGCACGACCCTTTCAGATGAGCACATCGCTCCTTGTTGGAGTTCGTGTCCTTTAAATCTCAGTTTGAGACTTTAGCGGTATGGGTTGTCGGGGGAGGAATATTTGTATTTTAGCAGGTCCTGAGAAAGGATGATCGGAAATGGAGAGATTAGAGAGGCTCTGGCCGGCTGCTGGTGGGGGTGGGGCGGGCTCTGATTTGGGTAACAGTTAAAGCAGCTTGTTTGTTGGAGTTAGAAACAGCTGTCTGGGAACTGCAGGGTCGGGCTAGGAAAGATACCTCAAAGGAGCTTCCCTGACCGGCCATTCCTCTAGCCGCTTGGATCATTCTCATCCAAGTAGTAAACCCTCTCTAAATGCTCCACTTTTTAGCCCATATTAAATATAGCTCCAATTTAGGAGCCCTTCCATACTCAGTTAAATAGATGTAACAGGTTTAAACGCCGCTCCACAGTGAATTTCTGGACATAAGATTTTACGCTCTTAATAGCCTTAGAAGGTTTAAAGGACGTTTATTTGTAAAACTAGGGGGCACGCATTGCTGTCATCGCTTTCTCCATTATTCCAAGAGCGTGGAATCACCTTCGCGCCTTTCTTCCCCACTCAGGTCCTGCTCCTGGAAGACGCAGTGACTGCGAGGAAGGTTGTGCAGGCGGCTGGCTGGTGCACGACCCGTCTGGACGCGCTGGAGGCTGCAGACGGCACAACCTCCCTGCGCGGCCCCTGGGCTGACCTGGCCGCAGCGATGCTGCACCTTGGCCGCCTGATGGCCCGGGGGCCGCCCGAGCGCCTGGGCCCCGCCGTTCGCCTGCTGCGGTGCTGCGTCCCCGCGTTGCTCGCCGCCGCCCGCGGCCCCGTCCGGCAGCCGCGCACCCCGCAGCTGTCTGACTCCCGGCGCCGCGTCTTCGCTCTGATCAGAAGGAGCCTCGGCGAGCTCCTGGGGCGGCTGGAGCCCGGCGCCGCGGCCCCGGCAGCTGGAGCGTTCACCCGGCGCCTGCAGCAGCTGCGCCAGCTGCTGGTGACGCCGGGGTCCGAGGGGCTGAGCGGCGGCCAGATGGACGCGCCCCTGGCGGCCGTGGTCTGGCACTGCCTGCGCCTGGCCGCCTGCTCCGCGCCTCCGGAAAGGCGGCACCTGGTGGCCCGCTGCGCCCGGCTGCTGCAGCTGCACGGCGCTGGCGTCCGGCGTCCGGACGGGACCTACGGGCCTCTCAGAATCGAGACCGGACAGCAGAGGCTGGATCCCGGGAAGAAGTGCGCAGCGCTGTGGGCCGCGACCGAGGCCCTCTCCCAGGGAGTGCGCGCTGGGCTACTGCGCCGGATCCTGGACACGTTCACAGACACCAGCAGTCCTCTCCGAAGCCTGGTCCACGCCACCCAGGCGACTCCCCCAGGCAGGTCCTCGGGGGACGGCGAGCACTCACGGAGGAGCCTCCAGCTTTTGCTTGCTGCATTCCAAGACCAGGCCAAGCAGATGCTCCACGTGGCCCAGTTGGTTTTGGTTCACTGCCCTGGACATCAGACAGGCGGGAACATGGAGGCCGCCATGGCACACGTCTGGGAGCTTGTAGTCAGCATACGGCAGCTTTTCTCACAAGGCTACCAAGGGTCTGGCCGGGACTGGAGCCCTGCAGCCCTGCAGGACCTGCTTGGGGCCTGGGTCTGGGCATCTGAACGCCTGCTGGCGTGTTTTGATGATGTTCTCGACATTCCTGAATTCCTCAGGGTGTCCATTCAGGATATGATCAAGCATTTGGATTTCTTTGCATGGGCTTTGAAGAGTGCAGAGTCCAGAGAGTTTTCCAGATCTGTGGCCTACTTACAAGGTCGAGCCACACACATAGTGCAGGTAATGAGCAGGTTTGTGGGCCAAAATCGAGACCCCATCTTCCGCAATGGCCTGAGAGTCTTGATCCGGCAGCTGGAGCAGTCTGCTTCTGTCCTGGGTATAGCTGCAGAACATGGTTCAAGTGGGTACAGTTCTCATGACACAGATGTGTTTTTAACCATGGCAAAAAATCTCATCTATTCAGCTCAGCAAGTGCAAGAGGGGCTCGAGGGGACCAATCACCCAGACATCCTCAGTCCCCTCCGACACCAGGTCCACAGATTTGACATTGGTAGGGGCTGGCCATATTTCATTCTCTCTGCCCTTCAGGACCCCACATCTCCTGAACTGAAATACCAGAAGGGTCCTGAATTAGGGGAACATGAGCAAGGCATACCCTGGCCCTCAATGGAACGTCTTTCCCACCTCTGGATTCCTGACATCCATGCGCAGAGGAGAGACCTTCTAGCACTCACCACCAGCAAAGCCATTCTGTCTGTGGAGAGCCAGGGTCACCAGGCAGTGACCTCAGCTGGCACCAATGCACTGCAGCAGGATCTTGCTGCAGGTGCAGCTTCAGAGGCCCCAGCTGGAGAGGAACCACTGGGGTCAAAGAGGACAGAACTCCAAGAAGTCTTGATGTTAGCACCTTCTGATATTGACCTAACAAAGGAGTTATCCCAGAGAATAACTGATAGACGTAATAGGCTTCCAGAAACGACTGTCCAGCTACCTGAAAGGACCAGAAAAAGCAAGCAGGCTTTGGTCGCCTTGGCTGGTGACTGGTACCTGCTGTGTCAACAACTCTTTTGTTACAACCCAACAATTGGTCTACAAAGGAACATTGCAGTGTTCATGGAGCTTCAGCAGAACTTAGCCTTAATGGTTCAACTAGCAGCTAAAAGACCAGTCTATTTGGATAAGAAGAGTCCTGATTCAACAGGGTATCCAGAAATGCTTTTACAAATGCAAGGTCAATTGGAGAAGACAGAGATCCATGCCAAACAGCTGTTGGACCAAGTTCTGGCTTCTGATGGTCTCCAAGCTCCCAAATCATGGGAAGACAACGTTGAGGATGGGTGCCTCCTATGGTCAGTGGCTGTCCAAGACCTGATCCAATCCATGGAGAGGTTCAGCAAGAGACAAAGTCTGTTCCTACTACCCCTGCGACAGGCAGTGAAGGACCAGCAAGGGTTGCAAGAAGGGTTGGCCCACATAGCAGATGTTTCTCAAAGGCTGCAGGAGGCTGCCAGGCTATCTGGCCTTCTCTGTGGGGATGAGCAGGTAAAGGGTGAGGTCTCCTTTCAGTGCAGGGAAGTTCATGTAGTCAGAGATGCTCTGCTGGATGTGGCACAGATCCTGGTTTCCTCTCCCAGACCATCTCCCAGCTTGTCCACACGCTTTGACCTTCTCTGCTTGGAGCTCACCCTTCGAGCCAAGGCCCTGATGGACTACCTCAGTACCATAAATGCAGACTACGAACATACTTTCCATGGTGCTGTCTGTCCAAGGCTCTCTGTGTGCAAGAACCCCCAGAGCAGGAAAGAAAGTTCCCTGGAAAGAATGGTGTCTGGTATCCAAGCTGTACAGGGAATCATAGCAAGAGATCAAGAGTCTGAGTCCTGCCAGGAAGATCTTCTTATGGCTCTGGAGAGCATTCTTATCCTCACCAAGGAAGTGGCCCAGAGAATTCCTGGGTTTCAAGAGCATCCTGAGGAGCTGGGATTGTATATGCTGGATTGCCTTCGGTGCGAGTGGGCAGCCAAGGCCCACCATGCGGTGGCCCAGCTCCAGGCCTGGAAAGGAGGTCACCCCAAGGCCTGGAGATTCCTGGCCCAGTGCTTGAAAAACGCAGAAGAGCCAGTAAGGATCCCAGAACAGGATGCCATCTGGATCCAGCTGCAGTGTGAGGAGGGTACAGCAGGAGCCTCTGCAGGGGCCAGGGTGGACTCAAAGCATGATGATGCCTCTAGAGGCTCCCCAAGGAGCTTGGGGTGGGGGCTGCCCTGCTGAGCCAGCCGTCACTGGGGCCATAGCAGACATGCACATGGTAGGCTACTCAGCAACTTTTCTCCATTCTACCTCAATCCTGTTTCTAGGAGCCAAAGACCCTGACAAGCTCCAGGGTTTTGAAGCCATTGTGTAAATTTCACCTTGGGCAGACAGCAGTGCAGCCTCTAAGAGCCTATGCCAGAGGATCAGACTTCCTGGGGTGCACCTGCCTCTGCCATTTCCTAGCTAGGCCCTGAGGACCTTCAGAGCTACTTGGGACTTCAGTATTTTAATCTGATGGAGAGTTAATGAAAGTATCCATGCTAGGTTACTTGTGCTTGCCTGGCATATATAGTAAGTGTCCTATAATTAGTGCCATTACGTACCGTCATCTTCCATGAAGTTCTTTCTGATCACCTGAACTGCAAGTCGTTCCCTTGTGCCTCCTGTGAATCAGGCTGCTTCACGCCACTTTGACCTCCTCAGATGTAACTTCCTGGTTCCAATCAGGGTTCTTTTGTTTGCAAGTGGCAGGAATCCAACTTCAATCATAGTTGGTTTTTTAAAAAAAGATTTATTAGAAAGAAACTGAGTCTCTTGACTATCTTTCAGAGCATGACAGGACATATAGGCACTGTAAAATCTCAAGCATTTAATTTTATATTGTCCATGACCATAGTCAGTAAGAGATAGAATAGGTTGGCAGGGCTCAGGTACTTCCCAGGCAGACATGTTCAGGCCGGCATTTGATGATCTGTCCCATCATGACCTTATTGTCCACTGCAAGAACCTCACCGCCCAAAACCATTCTCTAGATCTTCTTCCAAGATAGAACTGACAAGACCATGTATTTGTTTCTCCACTGCCTCGGTCTTCATTTTTCTCATTAACATGCCTCTTGTTGCTAAGGAGGAGGAGGAGAACAGGCACAATTCCCGTGTTTCCTGTAGCCTGAGTCCTCTTTGCTCAGATCCTGCCTGTCCTCTAGGCTCCATAGCATCCCATTTCCTGGTCTTATAAATTCAAGTAGTCGCCAGCACCTTCTTTTGTTATCTGTTTTTCCACAGGGCCTCCTGACACAGTCAGTGCACTGCAGTCACAGACTTGCATTATTTCTGTCGGTTCCCCGATGCATCCCCGTTCCATAAACTCTCCCTGCAGAACAGGATAATGCAGGCTGCCCGGGGCTGCGGGCTTCTGGAATGGAGGCAACCCAAAAGCTCCTTCAGCCCCCATCAGCACTCCCGTCTACGGAGGGAGTCATCTTTACTGTAGGGAGCTGATTTCCTTTGGGTAGGGGCAAGACCTCTATCCTGAGGAAGCACAGGCCTGCGCTCACTGTTACAGCAAAAAACAAATAGGAAAAGCCATGGACTCTCAACTCCCACGCAGGTGGCTGCGGCCTGCCCCTCCCAGCATTCAGCAGATGTTCTGCTCACTCTAGAACAAGGCCAATACAGCAAGGACGATCTGCACATTTTCAGAGGGCAGTGATGATTTAATTGAAGAAGCCAGCAGAGAAACAATAGCCAGACCAAGTGACTGTTTGGTACTCGCCAACTCACAGTCTTTGTCCACTTCTGCTATTAGAATATCTCAGACTGGGTCAGTGTACAAAGAAAATTAAGTTAATTCACTGCGCTGGAAGCTAAAAAGGCCGAGACAGAGAGGCCATGTCCGGTGAGGTGAGGCAGAGATAATCAAGGATATTCTCAATTCTGTGAATGGATTTACCTTTGTTTCCTTTTGTTTTTGATTTCCAGGTCTGGAAAAGGGTTGAGGAAGGCTGTGGCCAAGGTCCAACAGGAAAATAACACTGCCGAACTTGAGTACCCAGCCCATGCGTGGGGGTCACAGGCTGCTGTTATTCTTACTAGGAAGTAACAACAACCAAGTTTTTTAGGGGAGACAGGGGAATCATAATTATTCATAGCAAAACATTAACATCATTTCATATAGATCAACTGGTATAAAAATGTTTGGGTTTGGGTTCCAAATTTGGAACATTCAAGTATTCCTGAATTTCTTTTCTCTCTCTATCTTTGTCTCTGTCTCTCTCTGTCTGTCTCTGTCTCTGTCTCTCTCATGGCAAGACAGGCTGGCTTAGAGAGTCACACAGTGACCCTGTATCTCCTGGGTGCTGGGATTACAGGTGTGCACCACCTTGCTCGGCTATTCAGGGTTCCTGAATTTCTTGAAGAAGCTCAGATTCTCCCTTTCATGTAAAACCTGAAAATTCATAGAAGAAAAAATAAAGTAATATTTTAACTATATGGGAACTGGAGGGTGACAGATGGTAGTTATGAAAACTCTGAATGAATGGAATACAAATTAATAATCTTCAGAGCCCTTCCCACTATTTCCCTACATACTTACAGAAGCCTGCCAAGGGCTGCTGGGACCCAGAAGAATCAGGACCCCCCCCCCCATTCCTTCTCATCTTCTAAAAACTAACTAACATCCCCTCTGTACTTTAAAGGGCTGAGCGTCAGGGATTCGCGGGTTCTAACCCCTTATCCTCTCCCAGCAGCGGAGCCTCAGCGCCCCTGTGCCCTGGCTGAGCAGCTCTACCCCGAGGACCGCAGTGCGGACAGCGAGAACACAATCACCCGGATTGCCCGAGAGACGACGGGGAGGCGCTGCTGCTGATGGCTCAGAGTCTGAGCAAGAGGGCGTGTCCTGGTGCTGGGATGCGGCAGCCCGGAGGCCGCAGGGGGAAACCCCTCCCACCGCGCCCGCCCACGCCAGGGCAGCGGGAGGCCACGCGGGGGACTGCTCAGCACGCAGCCTCGGCGGGTCCTGCCTCCTCTGCCCGGGTGTACCAAAACCTCCGCCTTCCTCTTCCCCTCCTCTTTTCAGCCTGGTGACTAAAGTTTGTCTTACTCTACCAGAAAATATAAATTGCCAAAAGGTGCAACTTAGTAAAAATTAAGGACACACTCATATTCCAGAAGAAGGAACTGAAGCGAGTCCTTTACGTCTTCGAACATTTCCCGAAACAGAGATCAGAAGAACTGAAACCTCCTGTGCCGGTCACACAGCCGGCAGGGGCAGGGCAGCTTCCCGCGGCCTTCTGGAGGCCAACCCTGATCCACGATCTCCACGATCCACGATCACGGGTGACCTACTCCAGATAAGACCTGCATGAGAGGCAACCGCACCAGCAACTCCTCAGCTCTGAGGCTGTGGGTAGAGTTGGAGGATGCAACAGGGATGGCGGGAAGAGAGGAGGAAGTGTCCCATGGACAAGCGTCTCGTCTGGGAGCGATGTACATAAGGCTATGCTTATGTGTGGTTTGGGTTTTCTCTGGCACCCTTGAGATCCAGGTTATGAGTTCTGGAGTATTCCAGCCGGATCCCTTCAGTGTGGCCCTTTCCTTTCACACATGGAGGTGATCTTCTTAAAGACTTTCCATGACATTGTGTCTTAAATCTTTATTCAACAAAAATGTCTGGAAAACTTTCTGTGTGCCAGCAGTGAACAAGAGCCATTCCTTAAGTCATGATCCGGGTTGGGAACCTGGAATAATGAATAGTATGTACAAAATAAACACCTCCTCAGGAAGATGTTGAAAGCTAGCTCTAGCCAGGTGCGCATGCCTGTAATCCCAACACTTGGGAGGCTGAGGCAGGAGGATCACCATGAGTTTGAGGCCACCCTGGGCTACCCACTGAGTCCAAGGCCAACCTGCACTACATAACGAAACCTGTCTCAAAACAAAAGTAGTTTTGCTAAGCAGTCTCGCTAGCTCATGGCCAGGAGTCTGCTTTCCTCCCTTCCCCATCCCCACATGATGCGTCTTGCTCTGTTGGTTGTCAAGGGAGCTTCTCACTAACCCAGGGAGAAGCTGGGCGGAGGCTCAGGAAGTGGTGGTTTAAGCTAAAGTATGTTCATTTCAGGGACTGGAGTTTTGCCAAGCAAGTTCTGATCAAGTTTTGTAGCTCACCACCAATTTCTTGGGGACAACCTGTAAGGGCATTATTTACCTACTTCTAATGCTTTCATTTCTCTGATGTAGACCAAAGACGAGCTAAGTACCTCTGTTAGGAAAATTGCAGCTTCTGGACAAAACTTCACTAGACTCGTCTGCATCATTGCTAAGAATTGTGTGGATCAAAGATGTTCCCAGGAGCTTTTGTACATGGTAGAGCAGATTCTAACAGTAAGCAACCAGCTCCACATCATCTCCAGGTAGGAAACCTCTTTCCTCAAAGCTGCTAAGCCTATTTTTTTAGGACTCAAAGGTCTTTTAGTTTTCTAATCCTCAGCAGTTTGCCCAACTCTCTACTTCCTCTGAAGTTGCAGGCATTTACTCCAATATTATTGCTATCATAATTGAGGGTTAATTTGCAAATGCAAATCTCCTTACTTTCCAGCCATGTCTAACCATTAGCTCTCTATTTTGTACTAATCATATCTAGTGAAAAAGCCAGTTATCTTGACAACACAGTCAGGGACTACATCGTAATGGTTTTGTCAATGACACAGCATATTTCAAGAGTGGTCCCACTAGTGATACCAGCTAGTGACATCTTAACCATCTTTTTTTAAAACAAGACTCTCACTCTGTAACTCAGGGTAGTTTTGAATGCACTGTGTAGCCCAGGCTGGCCTCATGATCTTCCTGCCTCAGTCTCCCAAGGGCTGGGATTACAGGCGTGCACCACCACGCCTGGCTTCAGAGCCATTTTAGCCTGTGTAAGTACACTCTGTGATGCTCACACAATAGAATCAGCTAAAGATGCAGTCCTCAGGATAGATTTTTGCCATTAATCAATGTGCAATTGTACGTTAATAGCAAAGGAAAGCATTATGGATGTCGTCTGCCAAGGAAGGTTTTCCTTGCACAAAGTTCCTGTTAAACTTCATCTGTTAAATGTGCCCAAACCCTGGAATTGAGTGGTTTTTGTTGTCTTCCTATAACAGCTTCCCTATAAACACCATGATATAATTATGTGGTGGTTTCATTTCAGTCTTTAGAACCTGCAGCACCTACCAATAACAGACTACTACTAGGAATTGTTTTCTATTATGGAAAAGCCTGATACTGTCAGTTATTGTGAAGCACAAAAATAACATTGTCCAAAACAGCGTATATCATTTTTTCTAGTTGTTTTTGGGTTGGTACTGGGGATTGAACCTAGCCTTTCACACTGAGCTACATACCCAGCCCTTTTAAAAAATCCTTAAGTGTTAAGACAGGAGTTCAGTAAGCCACTAAGTTGCCCAGGCTTAACAAGACCCTGTCTAAAAATGAAAAACAAAAAATAGCTCATTATGAAAGCCTCAGTTTTAATGCCCAGTGCTAAAAAAATAGAAATAAAATAGAAAAAAAAACAAAAAACAAAACAAAACAAAAAAAACCTCGCTACTGCTCTCCAGGAAATAATATTTTAGGTGCATAATCATTTCAAGATTAGCTACCAACATTTGTCCACTTAAGATAAAGTAAAAATTAAGTTTTGCATTTTGTATATGGGAATTAGGGTACTCAGGAATTTGCTTTAATCGAGTAGATGTGGAAATTAAACACATAGGTGTGGTAATACATCATGAAGAAAGTAGATTTTTATATTCACAGATTCCTGGAAGCAGCGGTCACAGAGTGGATGCAGGGCCACAAGGAAGCAGCAGGGTCAGTCAAAGGGTAGAAGGAATGATGGGGAAATGCAGGAAAGAGTGTTTATTGTGATTTTCATGGGAAAGAATGGGTAAGACCGAATATGCAGGCTAAGCATTTCTAGGATTGGTGAGTCTGAATAACTGCAGGGTGTCCTGAGGAGTAGTTGTTGTCTGGTGCCTGGAGGCCGGTAGATAATGGCTGGGGTATAGAAGCAAGACAAAGGCGACAGTTGGCCTGTGGGCACTGGGTTGGTGCCTATGGAAAATTTGCTCTCTGACAAGTCATAGACTGCCCCTGGGAACTGGTGACCGCAGGAGGGGCATCTCTCTGACATCTGCAGAGCTTCAGTGGGTCAAAGCATCAGAAACAGAATATATGTGCTCAGTATGAACAAGACCCGAGGCTTAATCCCCAGCACATAGAAATAAAAAAGCAGATGAGGAAAAGAAGGGAGGGAGGTCAGGAGGAAGGAAGGGAGGGAAGGAGGGACAGATCACTGTCGCAGTTCTGGAGGAAGGAAATGAAAAGGCACAATTATTATAGGTGTATTTGTCAGCCTCTCAGCCTTCTGAGGGATCTTGAGAATAAGCAATTTTGCCAGAGTTAAGATGTCACTTAAATTTCACACCATCCCCCACCCTATGGTAGGAAACAACCTACCTAAATTCAGTTACATTGTTTAAACAAATGCCAGGAAGTGTGTAATTAGTTAAGAAACACAAGTCTGATCTTTGATGAGAACATTTGAACATGTGGCAAACAGATGAGTCTGGGACTTTTTAAATTCTAAGCGTTGAATATAATTCTATACAAAATTTCTTATTCTCTATCATTGTGTATGGCAGTTGGCATTTGTTCTGCTATTTCTCTTATTTCCATTAAAACATACTTTTAAAAATTAATTTATAGATGGTACATGAGTCATACTTTCTTGGCCTCAAAATACAGTTTTCATTTGAAAGATTTGAATTAGCCTGTGCTATGGTTGATACAGTGTGTCAACTTGAGCAGTTTAGAAATTTAACTGAGAGACTCAGCAGAGAGTCTGGGTTCTTACGTTGTAAATTCTTACCCTATGCAAGAGGAGGGCAAGGAGATTTAGTGAGTGCTACACCTGCCCTGGAAGTGACAGGGTGGGGGGTTCCTGGGTACAATATAAGGGAAGAAAAGAGGCTTGTTCTCCCCTCTCTTGCTCTGGCTGCTTTTGCTGGCTGCTGTCTTAAAGTATTGCCCTGGTGCCATGCCACCCTGCCTGGGAACCAGCTGAGTATGCAATGAAACCTCCACAAACAGTAAGCTAAATAAACTTCCTTTCCTTCATTTGGGGTGCTAGGTATTTTGTGCCAGCAACGAGAGAAAAGTAACCATGATAGGCTGTTAAGAACATTTTTTCTCTGAATGGTCCTCACCAAGGCACTTTCTGGAAGAGGCTCACTGTATAAACCCTGCTGGCATTAACTTATTTTGAGACTGGTTGTTGTACCTGATGTGAGGTCTGCTTTTTCTCCATAAACTCCCAAGGGTGAAGGCCTCCTTGGAAGAGCTCCTGCTGGGAAATGCACAAGATGGTGAGGGGGGCAGAAGCTGCAAGTCTCCGGGTGAATGAGCATGCTCAGGAATGCGGCAAATGGCAGGGTGCTCTCTCTCCCTCCTCCTCCTCCTCCTCCTCCTCCTCCTCCTCCTCCTCCTCCTCCTCCTCCTCCTCCTCCTCCTCCTCCTCCTCCTCCTCCTCCTCCTCCTCCTCCCCCCCCCCCCCCCCAGTGAATACTTACTGGGGCCACGGTGTTTACTGAGGCACGTTTCTTCCACGCCTAGTGTGGTGGGTGAATCAATACAGTAAGGAGTTGACCTGAGTTTGGATTTTATTTTTTTTTTTACAGTCACTGTGAGTACATCATGGACATGAAATTTTCAAGCATCACTTTATATTTAGTTTATGTCTTTGGTGGCTTGTGGCTTTCTAAAGCAGGAACTGGGGCAGGAACGGGGGTCTTTCTCACAGTGGTGGCTGCTCGCTGCCCCAGAGCCTGTGGCACAGGCTCCAGTTCTGCCACCAGTCTTTTCCTCACGAGCTGCTAGACAACAGTGAGATGCTAGACAAAGCCAGGGGGCAGACGTTGGACCTTGCCGGGTGGCGGCGCAGGGGGTTCCATATGCTTACTACCTATACCGCGGCCTTTAGTGATTAGCAATTTTCTAGAAGTTTTGGCTAAAATCTTCTTATCCAGTTATATGGCAGCCTTCTCTCCCCTTCCCCTGCTCCACGTTCTGGAAACCACTGCTCTCCCTACCTCTCTCTTTTAGGGTTTGCGACCGCCTTCCCCAGGTCCAGAGGAACTGAAAGTCCCTGCCTTTTGTATGCAGCGGAGGAGGAAACTACTAAGATGCAGACTTCAAGAAACCTCCCACGCAGACTGCAATGAACTCAGCCTGAGAAAAACAAGCACTAAAATGCCCCCAACACTTGTGGGCCTGGCTCAAGATTCATAGGTTAGACCAGCGAGGTCAGAGTTCACTTTTCTTAGATATTTGAGGGGTGTTCGAATTCTAAAGAGATCGGGGAAAGGTTGTGTTGTTCAGAAGCTCAAGGCGCTGGTGAATGAGGGATGGAGAGGAGCAGATGGGAGCCTGGGCCTTGCCGGAGTCACTGGGAATCTTTCCGTTTTCTAACGTCTTTCTCAAAATTTATTGGGAAGTGAAACAAGGAAAAGGAGAGACTGAGCCTGAAAAGCCAGAAACACAAGACTGCGTCTCCATCCCAGGAACAGGAAGGAGGGCTGACGACCCTGAAGATCAGGGCAGGGCTCTGGCTTGTTGGAGGGACCCCATGTAAGGTGCCTACATGCTGGTGCATCCCTTAGCAGCTTCAGCCATCCAGGCCAACACTTGGTGACCGAATTTCCCACAGTGCAGTGGGAGGGTGGCTTGGATTCATGGTTAAGGGAATTTTTTTTCACATTTAAACCATGGGACACAGGGGCTGGGGATTTAGCTCAGCGGCATAAGCGCCTGCCTTGCAAGCAGGCAGTCGTGAGTTCGATCCCTGGTACCGACAAAAACGAAAAAGACCAAAAAAAAAAAAAAAAAAAAAAAAAAAACCCATGGGATACAATTTTGCCATGTATCTCCCCTCGAAACTATAACCACAAGTCAAGATAATGAATGTACGATTGCTTCCCGACCTGTCCTCATACCCTTCTGCAATTGCTCCTTTTTGCTTCAACTCAGCCCCTACAAGAACTGATCTGTTTTGACCTTTAAAAATGAGTTTGCAAAATGAGTGTAATCCTCCTGTAATCCCAGCACTCAAGAGGCTAAGGCAGGAGGATCGTTGCAAGTTTGAGACCAGCCTGGGTTACCACGTGAGCCCAAAGCCAGCCTGCACTGCATACATAGTGCGACTCTATGTCACAAAGACAAAAAATAAATAAATAAATGTTAAAAATGAGTTTGCATTTCTTAGAATTTTCATAAAAAAGAATCATAGAGCAAGTGTTCTTTTCCCCCTCAGGTTTCTTTCACTCAGCCTAATTATTTTGACCTTCCTGTTGCTCTGTATATCAGTGATTCGTTCCTGTTCATTGCCCATGCTGATCATGATCCTCAAAATCACAGCCCCAAATATCACACATGTTGAAGTTCCAAAAGATCTAAGTCTCAAGAATCATTGTACTAAACCGATTAAATCCTGAAAGGTGAAATTCTGAAAACTCTAAGTCCTATGGGGAGAAAAGGTATAGAAGAAGGGCAGAAAGCTGAATTCTGAGAAAGGGATTTGCCGTGGATTCCAGCAATCTGCCTGTGACGTCTGTCACCCTTGTCATTGTGTGGGCTGGTTTGGTTAATCTGGCTGGGGAGGTGGGTGTCCTCTTTCTCTTTCACAGCACCATGTGCATCTCTGTTGAAGCTGTGTGCTTGGTGGAAGAGGAGGACCTTCCCCGAAAGGATCAGGACAAAGATACATGAGTAGCTTCACTTCCCTGCTGGAACCTCCAGACAAGCTCTCGAGGATAGGATTTACCATGTGACACAGTAGTGGAGAATTTGAACAAAAGTCTATGTTGCTCATCATGGTAATTCAGGTGATCACAGTAATAAACCTGAGTACACACAACTACCAGCCAGGGTGATGTGTATTTATACAATTCAATTTTTGACTTTCCCTTTATGATTTTTCTATTCATATTTGATATACATATGACTGTGGTTGGTATACCTGCGTGTTCGTGCTTGAAAATATATATGAAATTTCAGGGTTTTATTTCTCAAGTCTTTTATTTGAAATATGAATTTAAAATATCTTTGAAAGAATTTTAAAATTATTTTTCCCAAAACTGTATTATCAGGATTTTGACCTTTCAGGATTTTAAAATGTAGG